CCTTTCGCTTCGAGCGCCGAATATATTCGGCACTCGCTTGTGCGCCTTTTTATTCTTTTTAGCTTTATTTTTTTTTTTTAATTTAAAAGCCTCGCCATTTGTAATTTTGTACTTTTACGAGAAAAAAAAACACGATAGAAAAATTTTTTTTTCAACGCATTACAATATCATCCTTAAAGATTAAGGTTAATTATTAATTGAACTAAATGTTTGTGTCTTTTTACTCTATCAAAGTTTTGATAAAGTATAGAAAAATGAATTCTAAACCCATGTAAAATGGGAAGAATAAAAAGGCACTCACACAGACACATACGCAAATATATAGAGACAGACACACAGCATTCTTCTTAATTTCTCTAATAATTACAAATGGCGTATTCATTTTTTTTTGTCGATTTAACAAGTCAATTTTATATTGTACGTTTTTCATGGTCGGTTTTTWAGATGAGAAAAATAAATTTCAAAAACATACATATGTGTGTATGTGTTAGATTCTTCAATTAATACACAGAACACACATAAGCTTTATCCCGCTGCAAAAAAAAAAAAAACCAGTCAAATTACTTTTTTATATCCAAAATAAGAAGAAAGAAAGAATTTCAYTTGTATACAGTGAAACTCGAAAAGAAACAGGGAAATATATTTTTCTTTGTGGCAGTGAATTATTTCAATGAATTAATAGCAGAAAATCCCTGTTTGCTATGTTATCATGCATTTAGATAATTATTGTCGAAAGTATTTTTTACTGTAAAGTAACTGTTAAGTAATGTATCCATGAAATCGTGAAAAGCAAGATCAACAAAATGGTGTTAAAAGTAGAAGATAAGTAGAAGAAAAAGCACCAATGCAATATTCTTAATCTAATTTTTTTTTTGAACTCTCTTCCTTTTTTCTCGTGTCTAAATTTATCATTAACCTAATTAACAAACTTACTAAACTACGTTTTTTTCTTTTTCTTCTAATCGTACGACTACTTTATACACAAGAATACGTTTGAATAAAAAATAAATGTAACATTTTACATTTACATATTCTTCTTTTGCTTATTCGTTTTTTATTCTGTATCATTTCATGGCAAGCATTTCTTTTTTTTTTTTTATACGTTTATACAAAAATGCTCCGGTTTTGTTTGTTTGTTTTTTTTTTTCAATATTTTTTCAATTTTTTTTTTTACTTTTTTCTAATAAAACAATATTATTCGTAATGTAAAAAGCTATTTTGTATTATTTTATGTTCGGACATAGAGAAATTTGTACTTTGTATATTTCATTCTTTTCTATTATTCTCTTTCTCTTTCTCTTTCTTTCTTTATCAAAAAAAAGTCAGAAACGTCATTAATTACTTCGATATTTTTTTTTATCTATTGTTTATCATTAAATATTAATATTTACTATAATAAGTCTTTGGTATTTGTACCAATTATTTTGTCTGTATAATAATAATCTATTTAGAATGGTATAAACACATTCGTGTTGTTAGATGTTGTTATTATTATTATTATTATTATTATTATTATTATTATTTATTTGACGACTAATAAAATTTTAGTTTTAAAAGTCGATTGAGGTCGTTACCAAAGTCTACAAATAATTCAATAATTTAAAATTTATTTCGATACGTTACTTTTTCCAAAACGATTCATTTAAGAAAAAAGAGGCACATTTGTGATGTATGTTTTTTTTTTCTTTTTTGTTGTTGTAAAAAATGTACATGCATTTTCGTCTTTAATTCTCTCTCTTTTTCTCTCTGAGTTTATTATTATTTTTGGCACAGTATTTTTTATAATTTTTAGTTTATGTAAAAGATTCCTTTCTTTTTTTTTATCACTTATCTACAATTGTTCTTTTTGTTCTGTTTTCTTCTTTATACATATATACATAACTTTATAATCATATATAATCATAAAGAAACGATCAGTTTTAACACTCTCTTCTGGAATAGAATTAATAATACTATATATAGAATCATTAAATTCGCGTAATTTACAATTTTAAATCTTACACCATATAGAAAATCAAATAATGCTATAACACAATAGTATATTATGTTATTCAATTATGAAACAGAAAAACAGGCGTGAAAAAAAAAAGAAAGGAAATTTACAGAACAAAAGAAATAATCGTAGCAACAAAAATAATAAAATTGATCAGAATATTATTGAAAAAATGAATATCTCGATCAAATTATATACTTGTTCGTAAATGTAAAATTAATCATTTCACGACGTAATTACAACAATAATTCCTATTATTTTATCGATGCAATTATCATAACGATGAAATTTTTCTAATAAAAGAAGGAAGAACATTATTTCAAAATATGGAACTTCAATTCAATTTGTTTTGCCAATAATACCAAAAAAAACTCATATAAATAATGAAAAAGACTTTTTAGCTATTATTACGGAATAATAATATTTATAATAATAAAAATAAAAAAAAAATAAAAAAAAAATAAATAATAATAATAATAATAATAATAATAATAATAATAATAACGTGCTAAAAATATTGAGTGATGAACATAATATCTAACGTAAAATACATTACGAGATTAAATATTAATTAATATGAGATGAAAAAAGATTTAAGTAATTTTAAATTAACGTTAATGTTGTAATAATAGTAATGAACGGAACTATCTATAGAAAGTTCCGTTTTGTCCGATTATCGAATCACGTGAATATATATATCAATGTTTTTCTTTTTTTGTTTCTTTAGAGATATTAATAATGAATGATAAATTATTCGACAAGCATAATAAATATATATCTCAGAAAAATAACATTTTCTATTTCGTCAACAAATGTCCATTTTTTTGTTTCTTCTTTCTTTTTCTACGACAATAATATGCTTTATGTATATTTTTCATCTTTCTTATTCTCTCTCTTCTCTTCTCTTCTCTTCTTTTCTTTTCTTTTTTTTGCTTTTTCATATTTCGTAGTACAACTATAAATTTAATTATCTCTATTATTGGTGCGTGTGAAAAAGCCTTTAAGTTTTTTTTTTATCTTGTCTTGTCTTCACTGATAAGAAAAGCAGAGAGAAAAAAGAAATAGATAAAAAAAAAAGTAGGAAATATATATATATATATATTTATATTTATATAATATATTATAATTTGTATTATATATATATATATATATATACACGATAAAATAAAAAAAAATAGAATTGGACAGTAGCAAAACATTACCATTATTCTTCTTTTAATGATTCTTCTGTTGTCTCAGAATCATTCATAAAATTTTCAAATGTTTCTGCCCCAGTAGTAGCGGCAGCAGCAGCAGCAGCAGCAGCAGCATCATCAGCAGCAGCACGTTTCTTTTCTATTTCTTCTTCGGCTTTTTTTATTCTTACTGCTACTTCGACAAGTATGAGAAGATTATAATTTGAGAACCGTCTAAGGTTGATTTCTCTTAATTGTTCATAGTCTCGTTGTATACGTATAAGATATTCCTTTGGTATTCCTGTTGATCTCATTATTTGTTCATATCTAAATATTAATTCCAGTTCATTTTCTATATTCATATAGGCATATTGTTCTGGAAAATTGACACGATTGTTAAGCTCCCTGACTATTTTTAGCAATTCTTCGTGATCAATGTTGCGGAAATGATATGGTGAAATTAATTTAAAAAGACTTTCTCGACGATTATTATGAAACCTTGGATGATCAGTATTAGGTAGATAATCAGTATTGGTAAAATTATCATAGTCATATACATCACTGTATATTTCTGTCTCGTTTTGGACATCAGGTGTTGACGTTAAGTGTTGTCTTGGTGCATTCCAAGTGTATCCCGTTGATCTATAAAAATGAAAAAAGAAAAAAGAAAATGAAAGATAATTCAAGAAAACAGATTATTATTTTTTCGTATAATAATCAAATGAAAATAAGGTGGGAAACGATTGGCCGAGCATATTTGAATTTTGTTTGTTTTTCGTTTTTGTTGCTTTATTTCTTACCCCCGTTGTGCTGGGTGTAGTTGGGAGTTGTAATCCGGTACAAAAACTTCTTGCACCATTTGTGACCGAGGATATACAATGACACTTTGACAATTATTAACAGTTCGTTCCTCTTCGCTATGCGAACTACTGCCAGATTCATGAAAACTATCCTCTTCGCTTCTGTATAAGATAATATTAACGATTAGATATATAGTTAATAAATAAATATATATTAACGTATAAAGCATCAACAGCAGCAGCAACAACAATAACAACAACAACAACAACAACAACAACACCACCACCACATTTTTTCCATGTTATTTAATGATGATATTTCATTATTTCAAAAACATATATTCTTTCAATAGGATGTTTTTTCCTTGTTCTTTTTCTTTTTTTTCTGAATTAATGAAAATGAATGAAACACACTCGTTACTAACACACACTCGTACTAACACACGTTCATTCGTTCAATCGTTCGTTCCAATTGTTCGTAAAAGGATACAAAAAATAATATAAACGTTTTCCACCTCCAAAAATAATTAGTCTTACAATATAAAGGATTAAACAAATAATTAACTTACCCATAATTAATCCTACTTGTGTCCATTATACTTATTTGGTTATGATTAAAATCTGTCCTGGAAATTAAGTTAGGTCCACCATAACCAACAATAGCAGATGTGCTAGGTTTATCATCAAAACTAATCTCAGATGTGCTGGGTCCATCATTATCTTGGTTAGGTGTGTTAGATGTATTGTATTTATAGTTTTTTCTTTTATTATTAGTATAATTTTTTTTTGATTCATAACGGTGTTTGCCATTTAGATAATTTCTTCTAATGCTTTCAGCAGTTTGCTTATTATTCGCATTTTTACCTCTAGAAATCGTGTAGCTTTCGGGATCCCTACCATCATCCCGAATCCATTCAGGTAATAAACGCCTTCTCGCGTTGATGAACCAGTTACATACCTGTTAATAGAAAAATCACAAGTTTTTATTAAATTTGCGTTATACAATATGTTTTACAAATATTTATTTATAACCTTAATAAATACAAATCTTACCTGTAACTGGGTTAAACCCGTTGCAATGCTGAGACGTGTTTTTTCAATTTCGTCCGGATATGCGGCATACCGGTGTTCATATAACCATTTTTTCAAAATTTTTACAGCGTTTTTTGGTAAATTACCACGACGTCTTCTCACACCATTATTTTGCATACTTTGCGAGTCATCTTCGGAATTTGAGTGATGATTTAAATCCTCATCTAAAAACAAACATTCAAACAATTAGTTACGATACTACTGAGATAGATAAACTAAGGAAAAGGGTATATAATGTTGTTATATAAAAACAAAACGTTCACCTATTTTCAAGGACTTGACAACCTTATGAACAACTATTTTCAAACGATTAAAATATACTCAAAACATTTGTATACAGGGCGAAGAAGAATAAAATCCTCTAACACCCTATTGTATACAAAACGAAATAGAGTTTATGTGAGTATATGAAGGGGGATGATAATAATCCAAGGACTTAACTTTACTTTGAAGGGTGTATTTCCTACTGTCTTAGCAAATAATATATACACGTATACTTGAACAAGAACCCAACGGTAAATTCAGAGTGTGTTGCTTTAGTATAGAATAAGATATAATGAAAGAGATAGAAGGGAAGAAGGGGAGGAAGAGAAAGATGGGAATATAGAGGAGGCTCGAATACCGGTTTATATGTGCGTTAGCATGTTCTTTCGAAGAATACCAAGTATCCGTGATGGCAAATTCAATGAGGTTTGCTTTGGTATCATCATTCTTTTTCATTTCATCCTTTTCTTGTGTTTACATAAAAGTCAACAACTTACGGATAGATAGGTAAAGAAAGAAAGAAAGAAAGAAAGAAAGAACAAAAATGTGATAAGGTGAGATACGATGAAGAACAAGAGGAGGAGGAGAAGGAGGAAAAAGAATCTAACATGAGAGAGACCTTGAATTGAAACACGTGGGGGATATATCTCGACCTTCCTTTTTAACGACTTTCTCCCCACCACCTACTTTGGACTCGTTTGACATCATCTAGAAAGAGACCTGTTTTTTTTTGTTTTTATTTTATTTTACATATTTGTTGTGTAAAATATATTTATTTTACAAATGATGTATATATATATATATATATATATTATCCTCTCGTTTAAGAAGACTTGTTTAGACAGTTGTGTTGAGATATTGGTTTAATAAATGTATGAATAGTAAAAAAGAAATCTTGATTAATAATGCTTTTCTTGCTACTTTTTTTTTCTCTCTTTTTTCTTGTTCTTTTTGTATATATATATCAATACATTAAAAGTGACAACACGTGTTTTGTTGAAAAATAGTGAATAAGAGAATGTAATAAAAAAAGACAAATATTTATCTATTGATACTAACGAAGACAATATAATACTATAAATAATAAAAAATTAATATTAAAACATCACAAATGATTTTGTTGACAGGGTTGGTGGTTTGGTTGGGTGAATTGTGGTGGTGGTGGTGGTGGTGGTGTGGTGATAATGGTCTATGGTGTACACAGACTATTTGCTTGAGTAAAAGAAGATAAAGAAGAGGAGGAAGAAGAAAACAGATTACATGTTGGAAGATAGGAGACAGTAGTAGTAGTAGTAGTAGTAGTAGTAGTAGTAGTAGTAGTAGTAGTAGTAGTAGTAGTTTTACGTAGCTAGGTAATGCTACAGAAGATCTTTCTGTATCTGAAAATAACCAGTGTGTGCTCTCAGCCGGTTCCATATTTAGCCCGCCGAGTGTCGTGACTGACTTCTCTCGTTTAAGGTCAGACAGAGACGGAAGAAGAATAAGAAGAAGAATAAGAATAAGAAGAAGAAGAAGCTAGTAAAAGGCAGAGGTAAAAATGTCTCTAATAGATAGAATATCATTTTCTATGCAATTAAAACACCAAATATTCAACATTTGATCATGTATTTGAAAGTATTAGCAAAGTTTTATGAACGAATATTTTTAATTAACATCGTTCAATTATTTTACCCCTCACTTTCTTATTTTTTGTATATATTTTCTCACCCTTCAATATCATCCCTTACTTAATTATCTGATTTGGTTTATGAATCATGAATACAATTGTGAATTGTGACCAGGTTAAATTCCTACACTAATCCATTTCCTAGACTAAACTAATTTAAGCGGTGGTGGTGTAAGGTGAAATCGTTAAACTCGTTCTCGTACGTTCGTGACAATCAGTTATTTTAAGAACGGTTAATTACCCCCAGGTCTACGATGGGGGCACATCTTCAAACGAATTAGTATTTTCGTCTCTAGGTGTAGTACAAAAAAAAAAAAAAAAAAGAACAGGGAGAAGAAAATATGTCATTTAGGATATTTAACGTTGTTGTGTTTGATTCATCAAATTTCATTGTATTTCTTATTAATATAGACAAATATTCAATAAATGATTTTCCAAACGTTTTGATATTTTCACATACAAACAGATGTTAATTTATTGAAATATAAATAATAAATAATATAAAAAATAATACATTTAAGCAGAATAGATAACTTCTTGTAACCAAATCCATGATTCTGGGTCTGCATAGGCGCCTAATCTTAGAACTCGCGGATTTGTAGTTACGTAAGGTCCAGTAACCTGACGGCGTAAAATTAGGATCTAAACGGCTCGACTAGACACACACAATAATACAGCGTGCATGTGTGCATGAGTATATGTGTCTCAGAGAATCATCGTCACGTTAAACTTTCTTCGATCATTATTTTCTCTAACTAAAGATTAATCATCCATTCCCTAAACCTTAAGCATTATTTTTCCCTAACATATGAATGATATATCTTCTCCAAAAACTTTTACACTANTTTTTTTTTTTTTTATATAAATCCCTTACAGAATTAATAATAATAATAATAATAATAATAACAACAGAATTATACGCTTAAGATTAATCGGAAACATTACATTTTTTTTTATTTTACTATGGCACCTGTACATAATGATATTTATTATACTAAGGATTAACATGAAAAATATAATATACTTTATTGAATTAATTATGCATTTTGTCTATTTATTTATTTATTTTATTTCATTTAAATTAATTCTCCATCGGAAATAAGTTGCTTGGTTTATTTAATTCGATGTTTATCGTTATTTACAAGAACAACAAAACTGGAAATAATTTATGAATACCTTTTAAGATGGTTAATTGGATTATTTATAATTAATATTGACAAAAAGTAGAAACAATTATTCACGTTTTGCGATGAAGGATTAATTTATTATTTTCTATTTCATTTTTGATGATCATCTTTCTCGTAAGAATTAATTAAGAAAGAAATAAAGAGAGAATCAAAAGAGACAGTATTCATTATTTTCTATCATTTTGTTCTTTCTATGATGATAGAATTCTTCTCGCGTGTTTCTTCTTCTTCTTCTTCTTCTTCTTCTCGCGTGTTTCTTCTTCTTCTTCTTCTCGCGTGTTTCTTCTTCTTCTTCTTCTNTTCTTCTTCTTCTTCTTCTCGCGTGTTTCTTCTTCTTCTTCTTCTTCTTCTTCTTCTTCTTCTTCTTCTTCTTCTCCTCCTCTCTCTTTACTTTGATATTCATTTTATTTTCTTAACGAGTAAGATATGTGAATCATCGCAACAATTTTTTCCGACATTTTATATAATGTTTCAAGTTTTATTGATGAGTAATGAAAAAAGAAAAGAAAGAAAAAAAAGGAAAAAAAGGAAAAAAATGTCAAACATTAATGAAAAAAATGTTGTTCTTTTACAAAAAAACGTTCAGAGAAATTGATTATAATATGAGCCGTTCAGTGAACACATCGATTAATTTCACTTTTTGAAAAATCTTCAATTTAAGTGTCAAAGCACTTGGTATAGTCATAACTTTCCTCAATAATAAAGATTAACACCATTAAACGGCAACATTTTTGTCTTAACTTTTTGTTTTATAGAGTTAATCGATGTTGTGCACTGAACGTCTCATATAAGGATTAGCTTAACATATGTAAGTAAAATAATGAAATAATAATGTTAAAAAAAGAAGATTAATTAAGATTAATTAAGATTAATAATGATAATAAAAAAAAGAAGATTAATAATGATAATAAAAAAAGAAGATTAATAATGATAATAAAAAAAGAAGANTAATAATGATAATAAAAAAAGAAGATTAATAATGATAATATAAAAAGAAGATTAATAATGATAATAAAAAAAGAAGACTAATAATGATAATAATCGACCATAATGAAAAGAAAAAAAAAATAAAGCCCAATTCTATTAAATATTTTTCGTTTGAAAATATCAGACAGTTATAGAAAATTAATGTAGTCATCGTCGTTTTGGTTTAAGTAGTAAGTACAGTTTAAATGCACAATGGGGCTTTATAAGTCTGAAAAAATATATATATATATATTATATATATATATATATCTATAAATGGACCGTTTATTTTGAAAGTGGTTAAGTCCACTTTTTTTTTTTACAAAAATTAGATGATATCCACGTAATCTATGCTTAATTTAATGTAAACTTTTTGTGTGTGGCTAACAAGTTAATATTTAATTTCTTAAAGAGTGTCAATGTTTTGTACGATTTAAAATTAATCGATACAAGAAATTGAGTAATCATTGATATGGAAATCTTCAATATTCTCGAAACAGAAGAAAGTGAGCTTAAACCACTTTCAAAATAAACGGTCCATATGTAAATATTTAAAGTGTTATTGTAACGGCAGATTATTAATAATTTTGTTATTGCCTTCTTTTTTTGTTTCTTTTTTCCTTGTAAGCACAAAATGTATAATAAAAAGTATATATATATATATATATATATTTTTTTTTTTCTATATATATATATATATATATGTAGAAAGGAATAAAGAAACAACAATTATATCTAAGTTTAAAATTAAAATTAAAAAGAAACATAAAATTCTTCCTTTTGTTTGTTTGTTTGTTTTTTTGCTTTTTGTTTTTTTTTTTTTTTTTTCTTTCATTTTAATCTTTTTCTTCTTCTTCTTCTTCTTCTTTTGGATGTCACACACAATTATGCCATGATATTAATACCTTGTTGACGACCGGTCCCGAGTTAACTCGTGATACGCTTTTTTT